GATCAGGATGATCCATTATTTCATAAGGTGATACATCATGTGTGTTACTAATGCTCATGGGTTGTATGACATGGAAGAATGTTCATGAAGATGCTGGATGGCGGAATATGATTGTTGGCCACCATTCATGGGCCTATGGGCCAATGAGCTTGGCTCATTAGGGTTTTAGGTCTGATCTGTCAACTATAAATAGGGATCATTCTTAGTCATTTGATGTCATGTATCTTTTATTTTGTATCCTTAGTAAGTAGGACACATGTAACATCCCAAAAATACAGATTGAATTTTGTTTTTAATTTCATTCAAATCCCACGACATTAATAGAAAAACAATCAAAAAAGTATCGTAGTAACATGTTAGCAGAGTACAAATTCCTAAAATATCTAAATGTAGAAATCAGAGGGTAATGTGGTACAATCAAGTCGGGCACTTCCCCTTCAAACTGGAAGTACCTGAAACATAAACTGAAAACTGTAAGCACAAAGCTAAGTCAGTTCCCCTAAAGTACCACATACTAAACAAACATACTACCAAGCATATATGGGTGATTGCCTACCCCTTCGGTCTATTTCAATCGGATACTATCACGCATATCAAGATGCTTGCCTACCCCTTCGGTCTATTTCAACCAAATACCATCAAGCATATCTGGGTGCTTGCAATCCCCTTCGGTCTATTTCAACCAGATATCAGGTCTATTTCACCCCTACTACTACCACATAATATCATAACAGAAATCAAAGAGTCATCAAGCAAAACAGGCATAACTGATAATTGTCATAAAGACAATTATCACACTGCATCATAAACTAGTGGGCCAGCATTGGTGCCTTCGATCCATAAATACTGTGAAGGAAGTCTCACCTTAGACTAAAGATATCAAATCGCACTCGGAGAATGACTCGCGAAATCCCCTCCCTAATGCACAATCATAAAACCCTAATTAGAAATTAGTACACACTCTAACTCAAAGGTCCAAACCCTAATTCTTGACATAAGGCAAAAAGAGCTTCTTTACCCTTACCTTATTGGGCCTCCCTCCTTCCAAGACCCAAATCCATACAAAGTCCAAAAAGGAATCCAAACCCAACTATAAGGCCTTTAAGTCTCAATATGGCCCAAGGACCCCCAACATGGCCTTAAGCCCAAAAAATGACGTACTATAATTAGCTGGGCCCAAGGTCCAACTTAAACAAATCCAAAGCCCAACACTAATCGAGCTCAAAAATCATCTAAGCCCATAGTGTAGAAACAATAAATAAGATTGAAAGATTCTATAATAATGGAATGAATTAAAGACAAGAACAATGCCAAATTCTTTGATTAAGCAACTCTAGAAGAGTTCTCAAGAACTTCTCTGTAAGAGCGTATGAATGGCTCTTAGCGTTGGTAAAGCGTAAAAAGCATTAACCCTAATATTACATGCATGCACTATATATAGGTTAAGACAAGAAAGATTAAAATGAGAATGGAAAGGCCCATATTTGAAAAATAAACTTATATAAGACATATTTAACATGACACTAATAAGCCCAATAATCACCCCCTCTGTGTCAAATCTGAAGGTGAGTCTTCAATGTTGCCTTTTCTCCGTGTTGAAAAGTTTGGGCATCAAATTTAGAAAGCATGCTTCAGACACTTATATATACTAGTTGATCATATCCGAGAAAAAATTTAGATCTGTAGCAGAGTTGACCTTGCAAGTTTCAACGATTGCGAGAATAGTATTTAGAGCGGTGGTTGAGTAGAGATGTTTGTCTCTCAGAAAGAACACACTCTTCAGAAGCTTTTCACCTGACTTTCAATTATACGCAACACTCCAGTTCTCTTTTTAGAAAACTCCCAACTTCATCTGCTTAGCGTCCTGAGTGTTGGATAAGGTGTCTAAGCCCATAACTATATTTGATATAAAATTGACCCGACCCAGCATGGTCCATTTGGGTTGCACTTCACATAATAACTTGTATGGATATACTTTTGAGAATAAGATGTTTACGATATATTAATATATTATTAGTTATAATATATTAATATGATACATAATTATTTAATTAGTATTGATCAAGAATTAACTTAGAATTAATTTAGTGATCAAAATGGAGCTAATTAAATATGGACTCATGTTTATATATATATATATATATATATATATATATATATATATATATATATATACACACACACATATGGATTGGGCTAATATTTATTTAGGATGGGCAAAGAGTATATGGAGTCCATGGATAGTCCATGGAGATTTTAACCCATGGATCCTAGGTAAATGAAGAGCCATGGGTATTGGGGTTTAACCCTAAGCCTCCATACTATATAAAGGAGTCCTTGGTTTTAGAATTGCCACTAGTGTGTGTGACCATAAGAGTGAGCCGATTTCTATAAGTGTTCTTATTCTATCAAGGGCTTTTTGGTGATTTGTGACACCGCTTAAGGCATCCACACTATTGGTGCTAGGCTCAAAACTCCAATCAATCAACCACCTAAGAAAGGTATGTTATTCTACTTAAAGTTTTATATTACAAGTACCCTATAACATGCTAGTTAGGTTGTAAACCTTGGAAATCATATTTGCATGTATTTTAGAGAAAAGATAGATCCAAGGTTTCTAGGGTTGCATGTACACCATACGAGTGTTAGTATGCTCAAAACCCAACAGTGAGGCACCTCTTCAGATTCCAAAATGGGCCTTTTCTGCAACACCAATGTTATTTCCACATTCATCTTTGCAATATGTAAGACATAACAGATGAGCATCTTTTTCTGATGGGCAATGATAGGTTCGTAATTCTTCTCGTCCTTCATGACAATGTTGAACAATGAGATCTATTTCTTTGGATTCATGAAAGGTAAGTTTTCGAGAGTGAACACATCCAACACTTTATCAGAACCACGAAATACCTTGAACTTTATGTTCACAAATTCTTTAGTAGGCACAGGCGAGCAAACCTTTAACCCTATAATCGTCTTCAAGCTCCAATAATGATACTGAGGTTTGGAAAATTTTCAAGTAAAAATTAAAGATTTTACGATTCACCCATTTGTAAGAAATCAGAGCCTTATCAATCTTCTCAAAACATCAAAACATAAAAGACTTGAGAATAATCGAAAAGTCAAAATGAGAGCCTACTTCATTATTCAGATCAAATGATACCGTAGGCTCAAGCCAATACACATTCAGAGCATCAATGCCTTCTTTATGAATTTGACCATGGAGGAAAAAGTAGGTTCTGAGTTTCAAGTGTCACTTTTGCAGTTTTGGCCTCCTCTTCTTGTGCTTGTAACTCTTTCTGAATCTTTAGAAGATCATCGAGTTCTTTGTCTCTCTTTTTGCGCACAATCTTCTTTGATTCATAAAGATCTTCTTCTTCTTCATCATCATCATCGACAAGTTTCTATTTTCCTTTGTTTGATGTAGAAGCTTCATTAACCTTCTCGACAATATGTTGCAGATACTGCTTAATTTCAAAAGCATTGCTTTTGACAACTTTCTTCTTGGATTCCAAGTCATCAACATGCTTGTTTGTATACGACAGCTTTACCGAAAGAACCTTGGCCTTTTGTTTCTTTTCTTCCAGTTGATCCATGATATCGTTTTCTGTAGCATGGTTGGTTTGGAACTTTTCTATTTTGGAGATGATGGATGTATTGAGTTCGGTGTTGTCAAGCTTTATTTCAAAACAGACAAGTATGAGAGCCTCTTTCTCAGCTTGTAAGGTATTGGATAACCCTACAATAACTTTATTCATATATTCGGTATTGGAGTCAAAGAAGGTTCTGAACTCAGCCATAAACTTAGTTACCTCTTTATGTAGTTTTTTTTTGACTTCTACAGTTGCTTCATAAATTGTTTATTTGGATTCTTTAATTGCCTTGTACGATGCTTCGAGGACTTTGGCATTTTCCTTCCTTTTTGAGCATCTCCACTGTAGCTCGGTCGGATGTCAGCATGTATTCCCAATTGGGTGAAGATTTGGAAGATTCCATGAGCGAATCCAATTTTTCATTGACTTCTTGAATTTCCCTTTCGTCATAGGGTCATCACCATCGTCACTATTGACATTAACCCTGAAGCAGCTAAAAAAAGGTTTCTGGATCATCACCAAAAAGAATATATGGATTATCGTCACGTAATGGAGAAATTATAGAGGTGCATTGACCCAGAGTTACACATGTGTTAACATCATCCCCCGTATCAGATACATTGGCATGAATATCAAAAGTATGTACCTCTTCCTAAGCGGACTTGGTGGCAGTGACTTTTAGTGTACCGGTAACTGTTATTGTTGTAGTAGCAGTTGAATCTGTAAAGAGAGGGGTAGAGAGTGGAAGGGAAATATGTGGAAAAGAAACTCCAACAGAAAAGTTCGATGGTAAGGGTGGAATGGAAGAGATCGGAATAGTGGTGGTTATAGGAGAATATGTTGAAGAATTGACAAAGAAGTCATTTGTAAGAGGAACAAAGGTAGGTAGTGGAGATGATACATTCAGAATCGGTTAAGTAGGAGTGAGTTCCGAAGTGGCAGTTGTGTCATCTTCTTCACGCCGAACAGTAGCATCCTCTCTGATTTTCATAACAGTCCTTAACTCTGAATCCTCCTGAGCAGCCGGAGATAGAGATCTCGGTTTTCTAGCCTTCTTTTTGACCTTCTTTGGAGTTTTCACTACTTTAGAAGGAGTAGTTTTCACTTTTGCTTTCCTCCCGTCTTTGGTTTGTTACTTTCCTCAATTACCTATTGCAATTCCTATGTCATAGGGCGGACACCATATGTACATAGCATGCGATATTCATTCACAATCACATTGCTTGTGGGAACTTTTACCAACATAGGTTCTGGAATAGAACCAAAAAAGCTAAACTTGCTTGGATCAAACATCATAAAAAAGTTGTTGTTTGCAGAATCAGAATAGAAGCAACTACCGAGTCTGCTACGTTGAAATGGCCTAGGGCACTATGGACCATAATAAACCAAAAGAGAGCACATGAGATCTTAGTGTGGTGGGTGGTGGAGATTGTGTTTTGGAGCAACTGAATCCATAAGATAGAACCAAAATTGAGATTACTCGATGGTAGATACCATAAACAATAGTATAGAACAACTTACTTGCAATCTCAGAGCCTACAACTCTTTTAAAGAAGCTCTTGAACAAGAGAGTAAATAGCCCATTCCATGAGTCCTTAAGATGAAGCCAACCCTAAAAGTCAGCATAAACGAGATTTGGAGATCGAGATCTTATGAGAAGCTACCTCGAATTGAATAAGTCCATCATATTTACTGTAATTGGCAGACAAATAGGCCTTAGAAAGATGGACCAAAGGAACAGATTCTGCCATGGTTAAAGCTTGAGCAAGTGATGAGAACCTTAAGCATTCAATCATGGGACCTAGATCTTCATTGTAGCGAGATGATTCGAGATCAAGAATGAGATTCTGTTTAAGCTTGATGTTGAGCATGATGACGAAATGCAAATTGGTCAGCGAATGATGCATTTTCATATGATCTGACCATTGTTGTTTGGAAGAAGACGATGAATAGTAGAGAGAGATATGGGTTCTTGCCTTAAGAGTTTTGAATATTGTGTGAACAGTGAGAGAAAATGTCACACCCCGAAACCAAAGGCGGAAATGTCCCCGTGGTTGACTCCAAGTTGTGTATCAAATCCAATGTACATAGTAATCACAGTAAACAAACATTACATTACATATATATGAAAGTTTACATTTGTTTAAAAGTAAAGTTATACAAGATATACATATGCATCATATAAACAAAAGTTGAGACGAGTCTTCCACGCACTCCGTCTTCAACAAAAGAGATCACCGGGCACCTGTCTAACTTGGACCTGAGAATACAAGCGGTTGGAAAATCAGCATAAAGCTGGTGAGTTCATAAGCGGTTTTGGTTTATGAAAATGTATCGGTTTCCTTTAGTTTCCGAAAAAGTTGTTATCCAAGAAAATCCCATATTTTCTTATGTGAAATTGGTTAAGTTATCATTTGTTACCAATTCGGTTATGTATTGTATTTTACCCCAGGAAAATCCCATATTTTCCTATTTATAAGATCGGTTGTATATCACAAAGTATAGTTTAACACACAAAACTATATAATGAAAATCTTGGGATTACTATCCCGAAAGACATATAAGATAGTTTGACACATCTGAAAGCATAGGTTTAAGATCATGGGACTATCATCCCGGACTAAACACGAGATAAGTTGATGTATATATGTAAATATAGATTGAAGCCATGGGATCACTATCCCGAATAAGATACAGATTTGGAAAACCATGGGATCACTATCCCGTATAAGATATAGATACAAAACCTTGGGATCATTATCCCGTATAAGATATAGATTTAGAAAACCATGGGATCACTATCCCGTATAAGTTATAGATACAAAACCTTGGGATCATTATCCCGTATAAGATATAGATTTAGAAAACCATGGGATCACTATCCCGTATAAGTTTTAGATACAAATCCATGGGATCACTATCCTGTATAAGATATAGTTAAAGACCATGGGGAAAGACATCCCGTACAAGTTATAAGCATAAAACCATGGGATCACTATCCCGAACTAGATACAAAATAGTTTGGTTAATACCATGGGATCACTATCCCGAAAAAGATTTAGATATAAACCATGGGATCACTCTCCCGTATAGGACATAGATATAAAATAGTTTGATAATACCATGGGATTACTATCCCGAAAGAGATCTAGAAAAAATACCATGGGATCACAATCCCGAAAGAGATATAAAATATAAATGCAAAACCATGGGATCACTATCCCGAACGAGATATAGTTTCTGAACCCAAACTGTGAATAAGCTGGTATTAATACATGTTGTGAGTCGGGTAACCATACTAATACGACAACGTGACCTCCTTGACGTTTGTCAGACGTCGAACGATATCCAGAAATTTGTCACCCTAGGCGTGCCCGCCTAACTGTAGCTAGCAGTTAAGGTGTGGGATTGTCAGTCCCGAATAGATCTATTCACAAATTCCGCGCTCTCCCTCCAGGAGACTCTGGTTACACTTCCGGGGAGGATTTACTGATCATCCATAAAGGGTAGTGACTATCTCACAAACTAGTACTAAACTATTCATAGGGTTCTTGTAAGATATCGATATACAGAAGATTATGAAACATAGTACAGTAAAGTATAGATACATACATGAAATTATCTAACAATACATTAAAATGATACGGAGATAAACTGAATCAGACATAGTTTATCTAATAACTTGATATAGACATCAGTATACGATAGAAAGAATAGTAAAGACCCCCAAATTATTCCCATAATAATTTGATTAGTTTGATTGTTTCCTTAACTAAAATCCATTTAGTTGAAATCGAATAGTCATTCCTTATGCTCAGCATAATACATAAGGAGTAAAAGAGTTTATAGGTTTTTCAGATATTGTTTGAAACACATCAATGTTGTGATTGGAAAACAGTTATAGTTTGCTTGTATTCCCCCCTGAAAACATTGAAAACAGTGAAAAAGGGTAGGGGTATGAACTCACCGGACGAGATACGAGACGGTTTGGATGCTAAGAGTTGATCCGGAACTTGCAAACACACGAGGTTCCTAATTATCATGTAAAGATACACATTTTTATCTAATTAGGACTTAGATTGATTGTTGGATAGGGACAAATGCTTCAAGTCGCGATAACACTCCGATACAAGTGTTTGGAAGGACCCGGGTGGCGTTTAGGGACATGAATGATACAAGGGACTTGGGAAATGAGTTAGGACATCAAAGGAACACCCCCTTTTAGGGAGTTTACGGCCAAAACACCCATCCCCATGAGTTTACGGCCGTAAACTCATGATGGGTGGTTTATGGTGCAATTTGGACTTCCAACACTTAGGGGATAATTTCTAACTTGGTTTAAGGACTTGGAATGATTACAAAACATCAAATAGACCCCCTTAATGGGAGTTTACGGCCTAGCATGGCTCCAAGGCCGTAAACCCTATTTACCCAAGAAAATGATGTTAAATGGTGCTAGAACAAATCACATGTGATTGGTAGAATTATCCAAGGCCTATCATGAGATTTGCAAGGGACTTTTGGGGTGTTTATGGAGTTTACGGCCCATGAGACCCCCTCATGGCCGTAAACTCTTCTATAGGGTGCTTCAAGGAGTTTCAAGGTCTAAAACTTGCATGAAAGGACTTCTAAAATTCATCTAAGGGCCTTAGGGGTGTTTAGTTTGCATTCTAACACCAAGAATTTTGGAGTTTACGGCCCAAGAACAAGTCTTGGCCGTAAACCCTTAGAAATCCCATGAATGATGTGTTTTAGGCCCTCAAAGTATTTTTGGTTGGTCCCTTGATTTATTCCAAGGCTTTTGGTGGTGTTGGATGGCTTTCTAACACCTTAGAATTGGATTTATGCCAAGTTTTGGGGAGTTTACGGCCCAAGCACTCTCCTTGGCCGTAAACTCATCTAAATCCCCAAAATTCATGTTTCAAGTGTCCAAATGCTAGAATCAAGGTCCTATAATTCATATCTAGGCCATAGAAGTGATTTGGAAGGGTTTAAGGGCATGAAAACCCTAATTATATGAGTTTACGGCCCAAGAATGATCCTTGGCCGTAAACTCCTTCAAACATCACAAAATTCAAGTTTTACATGTTTAGAGTCCATATCTTGAAGTACCATAGCCATATCTAAAGTCCAAACTAGTCAAGGAGGGGTTTAAGGGCTCAAAACCCATCATTTTTGGTGTTTACGGCCTAGGCATCTTCCTGGGCCGTAAACTCATACATTGTGTCCCATTTCATGATTAAGTGTCTAATTTGGAAGCTAAACATGCTATAGATTGAAGCTAGGAAGGTACCTTAAGGATTTGAAGCCTTAAAATTGAGTTTTGGACCCTTAATCTTTGGATTTTTGGAGAGAGGTTAGAGAGAGAGTAGTGAGAGAAGGAAAAGCTTCAAATGAAAGCTGAAACACGTTTATATAGTTCCTAAAATTTGCACGCGGTGGAATTCTACCCGATACCGACGCTAAACGCGGCTTTTGGTCGCACCCGATTGAGTTTCCGTCACCCGACGGGAACATTATAAAAACTCATGAAATAAATGTTTTTGGGCTAATAACATAAGTTCCTGAGTGATTTAGACACTCATTAGAATAAAATAAACATATAAGTTTATACGATTAACTCCAAAGAGAAAACGGAACGAATCCGATAACGGCGACTTTCCGGGTAGAACGGGTTTTGGCGACGAACAAATTTCGGGTTGTTACATTATCCCCCCGTTAGAGGGAATTTCGTCCCGAAATTCAAAGAATAGGATATAGATCATGAGTTTGAAATGAAACTCGAATGGATTCGATATTTTGGATCATCACTTTCTCAAGTGGAATCGGGTCTCTACGAAGATTTCGAAACATACGATGTGGAATTAAACTTTAGACGTTCGAATGAAATTCCCGGAAACTCTTCGGGACAGACATTTAGTAGAAAGAGCTACTAACTTCTCGTTTCTCGATGATCACAGAAACGAGGAATGTGGTAATTCGTACCAGGAAAACTCTTGAGTTTTAAAGCATGAAACAATACGAAAGTTCGATGTCGAAGATCATGAGAGTTAGGTCGAGGAAGAGATATAGACGGGCGACCCTCTCGAAACCAGGATAACAACATGAATGAGACTCCGTCATTCCATGTTAAACGTAGCATCAAAGTATTATCGCGAAAGGTTTCCCATTTAACCGAATGGAATAGAATAGTCCTCTGGACCGAGGATTCAATCTATAGGTACGAAGTTAGTGTTCTCCATCTCATTGGTTAGTCGTCTCGATGATGCACATTTCGATCGCATACGAGGAATTGAGCTTAGAAAACATTCGAATAGATAGATAACAGGTTTCCTTCCAAACACGGGAATCGAAAAAAAGTTGCAGGTATAAGAGTTATCAAAGAGAAGTATACCTGCGGCGACAGAGGGATCAGTGGTGGTAGTTGCTTTGGGGCAATTCCTTTTGAAGTGCCCTGCTTCACCACAATTGTAGCAGGCTGGGCTGATTCCTGCTCCCGATGATTGGTTTGTTGATTTGGCTGGTTTTCTGCAGGTTCGAGACAGATGGCCCTTCTTGCCACAGTTGTCGCAGCTCCTTTCGCGACATGGACCAGGAATGCGGTGATGGTAGTTGCACTTACCACACCAAGGAAGACTGCCAGTGTATCCACTGGTGGGAGTTTGGGCTGTAGAACCGACAGCTGAGACAGCAATAGGGGCAGTAGCAGCATGGACTGCTACCGTTTGCTGTTTCTTGGAAGACCCTTTCGTACTCGGGGCCTTTCGCTTGTTCCGAGATTTCTTTTTGCTTTCACCTCCACTTGTGTCTGACTCGGGAGTGGTAGTTTCCTCATCTGAATTGTCTTCGTGATCGATCAAGATTTTCGCAA